TCATATGTGGCTGTGTCTCTGAAAAATGCTGGGGTACACCCCCGATGATGGCATCGGGAAGACGAGAAAAACCAGCCCACTGAGGGCCCCATTGCCAAGTCTCGGGAGAACAAATCTTTTGGCTGCGCGGAGCGGTTCCGTGAACAGAGGCGTGTGGCCGTTGGGGCCTACGAAGCCACACCCGGTGGGGTGGCTTCGTGGTGGTTCTCAAATCCGGGCAACCAAGGGTTGGGTCTTGAAGGTTTTCCTCTGAAAGTTGGACCAGCTGATTTTGCGTTGTGAAACTAGGTGAAACTAGCTGGAATCAACAGCTTTTCTCAATGGAATGTGGTAAATTCATGTATACTGTATATGCATGTAAATTCAACAAGAATCCATACCATGTGGTTAGCTCCACATCATGTTTGTGCATTTATTGACCCGTTGCCCGTAATGGTATGGCTCCCAGTGATGCCCAGGGGCGGGAGCATTGGTCCTGGTCAGTATCGCCGAAAGGACTTCTCGCCCGGGCAGCCCAGCCCATCAGCCCATCCCAGCCTGGATGGGATGGCCATGGATGGCCTACACGACTCGAAAAGCCACCATTTTCGGAGGGTTCCATGATGTTCCATGATGTTCCATGAACTGGGAGTATGATGAAAACCTTTGTCATCCTTTTTCCCAAAATAGCATCCTTTTTCATAGTGACTTAGTGAGTCACGCCAGGCTGCGGTTTGACAACGGCCGGTCCATTGGAACTGGAAGACAAGCCTGGGAAAAGGCGCAATCTTCGGGACTTGACGTGGATTGAAGGGACTTGACGTGGATTTTGTTGTTTGCTTGAAAGTTCGAAAGGTTGTATCATGTTGTATCTATTGCATGACAAATGCACATAGGGTGAACATGTCGCCCAGCCAGAGGTGGTGACGCCTGGTTGGGAATGCGAAGGCCACACAGCGGTGCAACAACAACCGGGGGAAAAAGATATAGCCAGAGGTGTCTGACATAGCGAAACCAATATCTTGTTGGAGGGGAAGTTGCACAATGTTTAAAAGTCTTTGTCTTTGAAAGCAGCAATTTCACATGCATTCCATGCAGCCCGCGTGTCAGGTCGATGTAGAGCCAGCCCCGGAGTAGGGCCTCCGCTGTGGAGCGAAGTTGTCCGAGGGGGTTTGGGGCCCAGAGGTAGGGGATCAGTGGTATCCCTACAGACCAATTGGGGAAATTAGGATCATAGGTGATCGGAATAGATAATATAGATCTAAAATAAGCTAAATCGACCCAAAACAGCTTGTTTCTTGGTGAGGTCCGCATATCCAACCTCCCAGTTAGCGATCGGCTTCACGAGCCTAGCAAGGTGTCTCTATGGGCTGTGCCCAGCGTTTCCCAAAAGCAGGTGCCTGGTGCCCGCAGACGTGGAAGGAAATGGATGGATTTCTAAATCCCGAAATGGTTAACATATTCGAAGCTGGATCCCCAACACAAAATGGATCAACATTGTTTTATTTGGATCCTTTCGAAGCTGGCTACCTCAAGCCACACACCAAGTTTGAGAAACAGTCAAGAGTTGCTACAAGGTTATTACATGGTCGGTTTGGAAATAACAAATCACTGGGTTTTACCAAATTCAAGGATTCAAGACTCAGAACAGACCACCAGTCGGTGACAGCCGGTAGAATTTTCTCAGCTTCAATGTCCGGCGGCGGCTGGGTGCTGGAATCTTCAATATGGGATGTGAGACTTATGAAGTTGCCCGGTGACAGAGTAGGCACTTGATATGAAGTTGTGTTTAAGAAGGATGACTTTGGTTAATGTGGTTCTGGAGTGCTTCATGATCTTCATGCTTAGGCCAAGGGATCCAAGGGTGTTTGAAAACATGGGCTCACCCGTCACCGCTGTTTACGCCAGCTGACACGAGCTGCAGCCCTGGACCCATCTACAACTTGCAGGCCAGAGGGGAATTCCGATCTACTTCAACTGGGGAAAACATGGGAAAACTATTTCCTTCCTTCAAAGATAGTCTTTTTATTCACCTCAGGCGATAGGGTTCCAAGATGTTCCAAGTGAAGATGATATAGAACCGCATCAGTTCTTGGGTCTTGACTCCTGCCGAAATGGTGCGATTTAAGATGCCATATATAGTCTTGGATACCGTGATGGTTTAACTTCTGCGACTGGTTTTGATGATTTTTGATGTGGGTATGGGTCAAATTCATGGAATTTGCTGCTGAAAAATACTTGATTATTGTAAAACCCACTGCATCTCATCAATCCCCCATGTTATAGGTGGTTGTTGGTTACACACCATGAGTTGTTGGTACACATATCACTCACAATAGTAAAACCGTATTGCTGCTCAATAATCTTAATATCATAGAGACAACTTATCTGAGATAACCATTAACCAACAGTGTTAAACATTGTCAATGTTTTGAACATCCTTTTTCTGTTGCTTTCCAGTTGGCTTCTCACCGGAGCAGGCAGGTCCCCGCGTGGCACCACGACGACCCATGAAGAAGGAGATCAAGGAGACCAAGGAGAAGGAGATCAAGGAGACGGCGGTCACCCGGTGACCACTTCATCCTGGCTGATGAGATTTTAAATGGGGATTCAATCATCATTCATAGGGGGTTTTAAACACTAAAAAAGGGTATATATATAATATATATAATTATATATGAAGAAACATGCACTTAGCTTGGAACGACTGGCATGAATCATTGCCGCACACCTTCATCCATGCTTGCCGCTGCCATTTACTTTTCAATGATCTGACATAGGCCTAAAGCCATATGCTGCTACGCCTGCACCGGAAACAGCTGCTGCCGCTAGCTTTTGCAGCTGGATTTGTCAGTGGCACCGGAGCCTTACGTTTTGGGGCATTGCGCTTTTGCTTGCTGCTGCGCTTACTCCGAACTTTTGCACGGTGGACTACTTCTAGATCCTAAAGTTCCTGACCGGTGATCCACGCGGTGACCTGGCAACGTTCTTGGGGATCAAGGGTGCGGTCCTTTTGTTTTCACCATCTACAGCTGGCAAGCGCCTTAGTCTGTGGCCGGTTGAAGACTGAATTCAACCTTTTGCTGATTTTGTGTTTCATCTCCCGAAGGGGAGCCAATTCAAGTCATGGGAGATGCAGAGAGGGACCAATCTGGAGGTGCCTGGTCTCGCGTTCCAGGTTGGGACGGATCGCCACAGACGTGGCGAGCTTTCCAGAGAGAAATGAAATGGTGGACTAGCAGCCTGGACTTAGAAGGAACGAAGAAATACAACCTTGCTGCACGTTGGTTGTTGAGGCAGTCAGGCGTAGTTCGCCAAAGAGGTGAAGAGTTCAATCCAGATGAGCTTGAGTACCAGAAGGAGGTCAAAGGTGAAGATCCACAGACAGGTGACGAAGTTGTCATTACGCCTGAGGACCCGCTGAGTGGCTTGACAAAGTTGCTGAAGGCGTTAGAGGGCATCAATGGCAAAACAACACTTGACAAACGTGGAGAGCTGAGAAATTTGTTTTACTTGGAGTTGAAAAGAAAACCAGGTGAACGCATAGCTGAGTTTTGCTCCAGGTTTAGAGTTTCTCTTGCAGACCTCAGAACGGAGGGAGTGACCTTACCTTCCGGTGAAGTTGGATGGTTTTTCAAGACAAAGCTTGGTCTTGACCCGCTGCGAGTGCAACTCCTGGAAACTGCCTTGTCAGGCGCTGAGGAGTACGAGACGATCGAACGTGAAGTTCTTCGACTTTTCAAAGATCTGCATTCTCAGGATCCGTTGGTGCGCAAGTCTTTTGGAGACAGCAACAACAAGGGTGGTTCCTTGATGCAGAGGTTTTTGACTTCACAGAATCCTTCAAGCAAGCCTTCGTCCTATGCACCTTCGATGGCTAGCTCTGTGCCGAGGTCCCACAGGACTTCAACGACTTCTGGATCAAGCAGGTTCAGTGGATTTAGAAAGCCTTTCCCGGCCCGACAGGCCATGGTTTCTGAAGCAGAGGACCCTGAACCTGATGAGGAAGCAGAGCTGTTGGAAGATGAGAATGAGGCTGAACCGAACTTGGAGGACATGCTGAAAAGTGAAGCCGAAGCTCTTGCGGCTGAGTTGGATGACGCTGCAGACAACGGCGTCGATGCCTCGACCTTGCAGGAGATAGAAGAATCAGTTGAAACCGCAGCTGAAGCACTCCTCACCATGAAGGAGGCACGAACGAAGTTGCAGGAAGTGAAACGTGATCGGGGTTACCTGAAACCAGCCGATGGTACCTCGAAGAACAACCCAAAGAAGACTGCCAAGAACCCGTGTTTCGATTGCGGCCTTCCAGGACACTGGGCTGGAGACCCGGAATGTGGCAAACCTGGACAAGGCCTTGCAAGGAAGTCTTCGTTGAAGAAACCCGGCAGCCGACATGTCAAAGTGGTTGAAACTTTGAATACAGAACATGTGGATGAAGCGGAAGGTGAAAGCCATGAGGTGCTCACCGTGTCGGCTCAACCTTTGTCCCAGTCCTTTGTAGCTGCACTTGAAGATGCCCACTCCGTGACAAAAGAAGCGCTGATTGCACAGCTGGCAGAAGACAAACGTCTTGTTGGAGCTTTGGATTCGGCATGCAACAGAACATGTGCTGGACCGGATTGGTTGAAAGGGTATCTTCATGGACTTCAATCTGCACCAGAAAGCATTAGGAGCCTAGTGACCTCAAAGCCTGAGCATGAAACCTTTCGTTTTGGAAATGGCGGCACCAAGGTGTCGGACATGCGATGGAGGTTGCCAACAGTGATAGGAGGGAGGCTGTTTTGCTTTTGGTGTTCGGTGGTGCCAGTTCCATCACTTGGTCTTCTACTTGGCCGTGATTTTTTGGAAAGTATTGGAGCTGATCTGTCCTTTTCACGCCGTGAACTTTGCTGTGAACGTTTGGGGGCTGAGAAGATTCAACTGAAACAGCTGGCTGCAGGACATTACCTACTGCCTTTGATTCCTGCTGCATGGCCAGGTGTGGGCTCTCAGCGTTGGCGTAGGATTGGACAAGATGGCATCATTGAGTTGCAGATGTCGACACCAGATTGGTTGAACTATTGTTTCAAGGGTCAACGTTCATTGAGGGCGGCAAAACATGACCATTTACTCACGGAACACAGTGTACATGTTGGAAATTTGGTTTGCACCGTGATGTCAAGCCCTGTTTCTGGTCCTTCGGTTCAAGCAACTTCAATGCGCTCTTCTTCTGAGCACCGTGAACCGACTCCTTCCTCTACGACCAGGACGACATCAAGGACATCTGTGAGAAATGCTAGTGCCAAAGGCCGGCGTGCAAACCGGCAGATGGCGCAGAATGTTCCTCAAGCTGAACGAGCGCATGCTGTGGGCCGCAAGAGGCGTCCTGCTCTGGCTTTTACAAAGGCCTTTCTTGCGCTTTCTGCCCTTTCCATACCCCTCGACGTCATCAACAGACAAATGGTTGGAGCAAGCGCGCAAACAGGTTTCAGCCGGGGTGATCTCAAAGCGCCACTTCAAGTTGGCGGTCGCAATGAAGCAGTTCACCATGGCCAATCTGGGAGAATGCATACACCTGAGAGGACGCATTGGCCTCAAATTGGCGTTCTGCGAGGACCCGACGGTGGAGGGCATGTTGCAAGCTCTTCCAATGAAAGGCATGGCCAACAAGATCCGAAAGGCCGTTCAAGCAGAAGCTGTGGCCGCAGCCAAACAGCTTGCCAGCGACAACAAGCGAGAAGCAGAGGCTCGGACCTTGATTGGGCCAAAGGGCGGACTTCCTTCACTACGAGGGGACCTGGTGAGACTTGCAGCCCTTCTCCAAGTGACTCTTGGAGACAAGGACACCATCGAGGTGATAAAAGAAAAGGTGAAGCCAATGGTGGCCATCCTCAAAGAGAAGCCTGTGCAGCCGACCGCTGCAAAGTCAACAGCCAAAGCCAAAGCTGCCAAGCCGAAAAGCCATCCCAAAGATGCGAGCGCTTCCTCAATGTCTTCAGAGGTGCGCCCACTGTCAGTTCTTCAAGATCAGGTGGCAAGCTTGACAGCACAGTTGGAAGCAATGAAAGCCTTGCTGCCGGAACAGCACCAAGTGCCGGTGGTGGATCTCATGGAGGTGGATGCGAAATCGGAAGTGGAGTCAATGACTTCCGAAGATTACAAGCAAGTTCAAGAAGCGATGCTGGAGGATTGCTATGGAGAAGCCCTGAGAGCACAATACGGGAACATCGACCTGGTGGATCTGACACAGGAGCAGATCGAAGCAGTGGTGGATCCATGAACTTCCCTGACTTCAATCCCTTCAGCTTGAACCAGAAGATCAAGAGCGGCCAAGCTCAGATGATTGCACAAGCCTGGCAAAAGCATGAAGCTGACCGTTTGAAAACCTCCTGGGGCCCAGCCAAGATCCGTGAGACCTTGGTTGCTGACTATGAGAATGATTTCTGGCATGCATTGACGGAAGAGACCTTCATCCAACCCATGGTCTTTGATTTTGAGTCCTTTGCGGTTTCTGACGCCAATGCAGTTGAAAAGAATTCCAAGACTTCAAAGAATGCCAAGGTTTCTGAGTATAAGCAGTTTTCCAAGAATGCCAAAGTCCCATCGAATGTCAAGGTTTCTGCGAATGACCTGGCCACAAAGAATGTCAACCGTTCTGAGCCCTGTGCAGGCTCGTCGAAGGTCAAGCCGTTTGTCACAGAGGTCTACACGAGTGCTGAGAACGTCATGAAAGAGGCCAGAAAACGTGGACACAATGTGGGGCAATCTATGTCTTTGGAAACTGGTTGGAACTTCTTGGATGCCAATGACAGGTTCAAAGCTTACAACAAGATCAGAGATGAAAAGCCTTTTTGCGTGGTTTTAGCATTTCCTTGCAATGGTTTCAGCCCTCTTCAACGTTTGAATGGACTTCATCCCGAAAGAAAAGCAGAAAGAAGGGCGATTGGTCGTGAACTCATGAAGTTTGCTTTGGAAATAGCTGAACTGCAGATCAGAGAAGGTCGACATGTCATCTTAGAAAATCCTCGAGGCAGTGAAGCTTGGAATGAACCTGAGATGTTGCGTTTTCTTGAGGAGAATGAGCTCTACGCCGCTATCTTTGACCAATGCCGTTTTGGCCTCAAAAGCCTTTCTGGTTGGTTGCACAAGAAGCCAACGAGAGTGGTGAGCTCAAGTTCAGATGTTGCTGCGGAATTGGATGGAGTGACTTGCATGCGCAACCACCCTCATGCGCCAGTTCTGGGCGGCTCTCATGTGACAGCCCGTGCGGGCATCTACCCAAAGCCTTTGGCACGCGCCATCGTTAGGGGCCTTGAGAAGCAATTTGAACGAGAGTTTGCTCCTCGTGAAGCTCTTGCTGCCGAAATTGGAGAGGATGTTGAGGAGGAGGAATTGGCTTTTGAAGGCGGTGGATTGGTGATGCCTCAAGATGATGGCAGTGATGTGGAGGACGAAGTGGATTCAAAAGGAACGGCAATTCCTGTTTCTTCTGGCATGCGCGCAACAATCCTTCGACTTCACCAGAACACTGGCCACAGATCGGGCAAAAGGTTAGCCCGAGCCCTAGCCATTGCGGGTGCACCTGCAGAAGCAATTCAGGCGGCGAAACAACTTCAATGCTCAGTTTGCCAAGAGCGACAACCACCTCGTGCCCGCCGTCCTGCTTCTCTTCCTGTGCCTCGCGACATGGGTGACCAGATCCATGTGGACTTGCTGGAAGTTTTTGACACCAGCGAGAAGAAGTACGTAGTGGCCCATGCAACTGATGCCGCTACACGATTCCAAATGGCTGAGATTTTGCCAGACAAGTCAACCAAGTCTGTGGTGCGCTTCCTTTCTACCAGATGGATTGCAACATTTGGCCCTCCGAGAGTGATGGTCGTGGACCAAGGCAGAGAATTTGTGTCTTGGGAAATGGAGGAATATGCTGGAAGCCAATCCATTCTTTTGCACCACATTGCCGTTCAGGCGCCCTGGCAAAATGGAATTGCAGAAAGAAGCGGTGGAGTGTTAAAAGCACTTTTAGCAGCCATCGTTACTTCTCAAAGCGTCCTTGGACTCGAGGACATGCAGGTAGCTCTTGCCGAGGCGACATCAGCTTACAATGGCGACATCAATGAATTGGGTGCCTCTCCTTTTCAGGCTGCCATTGGACGTCAGCCTCGAATGGTTGGAGACGTGCTGGGTGGCATACAGACAAGGCTTGCAGAACATGGACTCATTGACTCCAAGCCTTCGCTGGCTAGACAGTTGGCCATGCGAGAAGTTGCCAAAATAGGAATGACCCGCCTTCACTTCAGCCGAAGTTTGCGGAAGGCAGAACTAGCACGATCCCGAAACCCAACCATTGAGCAGCTTCCAGAGCCTGGCACAATCTGCTACTTCTACAGGCCTTTGAAGTACAACAACAAGACAGCGCCGTCCAAGAAGAAGCTCACTCTGAAACGTTGGCACGGCCCTGCACTTCTTTTGGCCATTGAAGGCAGAAGCTCTGGATACTTGAGCTACAAGGGGCAATTGACCAAATGCGCCCTGGAGCACATTCGTGCAGCCAGCACGATGGAACAGATAGCTGCAGATTCTTGGCGTGAAGCCATAGAAGAAGCTGTTGAGGCTGCCACCTTGGACTTGTCGGCCCGTGGGCTTCCTTTGGCCGATGGTGGCGATGGAACTGCTGTTCAACAACCAGCTGCTGTGATGCCAATGCCTGGCACTCCTGCCTTCTTGCCCTCATCTTCAGCAGCTGCAGTTCCAGAACAAGCAATGCCGGTTGGCGATGATTTGCCTCCGGTAGCGCCTCAAGAACTTGCTGGTGCCTTGATGCCTGCCTCTGCACCAGTATCGACTGTGCCTTCCAGAAGATTGAGTGAGGCGACGTTTGAACGAGCCACTACAGATGGACTTTCGAGTGGACTCGGCGATGGACTTCGAAAACGAACCTCAAGCTTTGCAAGCCAATTGCAAGGCGTCATGGAACAAGCACGACGTCAACGTTTGGCAGATCCTACAGGAACCAAACGAGCGGCCGACACATCACTGGAAAGATTGAAGGCTGAATCCTCTGAGCCTCCTGTTCCTCAACCTGATGAACCTCCAGTGATCACAGCAACTTCATCTACTGAGCCTGCGGCAGAAGCATTGCAGACCACGAGAGAAGATGTTTTGTCCAGTTTGGGCGATCCTTCACTACACCCACTGCAACACATCTACAATGCTGCCTGTGAAGACAGACTCAACCCTACTGAAGTGCGTGTGAAAGATCATGGTTCTTGGGATGGCAGATGGCCTTTACCCTCAAGAACGGAATGGCATGCTCACCAACGGCTTGGACTTCCTTGGCCTTGTGGGCATGATGATCTGGTTGAAAATGACGTGATGGCAGTTCAAGCCAATCGCAAAGAATTTCACTGGCGCTCCATGAGTGATGCTGAAAAGGCTGAGTTCAAGATTGCAGCCGAACAAGCTTGGAGCGTTTGGAAGGAGAATGATGCGGTTGAAGAATTATCTCCTGAAGAATCTCAACGAGTGCGTGAGAGACTGAAGAGAGAAGGCCAGCAGGGGAAGATTCTCACCCCCAGATATGTGTTTACCGATAAACACGAAGGCCTTCGCACTGAGCAGAACAAGTTGCCTCTCCGTGCACGAGCGCGCATTGTTGTTCCTGGTTTCAAGGACATCTTTTCATTTGGACTTCGAAAGGATGCTCCTACATGTTCAAGACTGGCCCAACATTTCCTTCTGACCCTGACGGCATGTTTCAATGTTTTGGCTGTTGGAGCTGACCTTGCTTGGACTTTGCTTTCAGCCGACATCAAGTCAGCCTTCATGAAAGGAGATGCCTACATGGATGGGACCAGAGAACTGTTCATGGAGAACATCCGAGGAGCCCTTGATGAACCTCGCTTGCCTTTTCCTGGACTTGCCAGGATACGCAAAGGAGTGTTTGGTTTGAGTGATGCGCCGAGACGTTGGTATTTGAGGTTGAACAAGTCCCTGATTCAGCAGGGATGGCAAAGAACTACACTGGACTACGCCTGTTGGGTTCTGTGGTCACCATGTGGAACGAGGTTGGATGGCGTCCTCATCTCACATGTGGATGATTTGCTTTTGGGCGGAAACCGCCGTGCTGTCGCCAAACTTCAAGAGCTTGGACGAGAATTGGGGTTTGGAAGCACCTCTGAGAAGGACATCACCTATTGTGGCAAACGTATCCGCCAATGGGATGATGGCCACATCACCATCACCATGGAAGAGTACCACAGCAACCTGAAGACAGTGAACATTCCTGTGCCTCGCCGAGCCAACCCAGACTCAGACTTGACGGAGATGGAACGACGTCAACTTCGTGCAATCCTTGGTTCACTTCAATGGCTGGTTGCTCAACTGCGATTTGATTTGGGTTTTCAGCCCAGCACCTTGCAAGGTGAACCGCCGAAGATCAGCACCCTGATGAAAGTAAATCTGCTTGTCAAGCGCTTCAAGCAGGACCCTGACTTTGCCCTGACCTTCAAGCCGATGGATTTGAAGGGAGCTGGAATCATGGTGGTAACAGATGCCAGTTTGGGGAATGTCACCAAAGCTGGCGGAGCTGATGGAACTGTGTTGGAAAAGGTGTTTAGCCAAAGCGCCTACTATGTCCTCCTAGCCGACAAGGACCTTTTGGCTGGACGAGAAGGAAGCTTCTCAGTGCTGGACGCAAGAAGCCACAGACTTCCTAGAGTATGCCGCTCTACATACGGAGCAGAGCTGCTGGGAACGGAAGAAGCATTTGATGTTGGATGTTTCTGCCGTGGCTGGTGGGCGATGTTGCAAGGCCTTCCCATCGAACACAAACGTGCTGAAGAAGTCATGGACTGCATTCCTTTGGCAGTCGTCACAGATGCACGTGATGTCTACGACAAAGGGTCTTCAGACACACCTTCGTACGGATCTCAAAAATCCCTGGCGTTCACAGTTGCCTGGATTCGTGGAGTCCTCAGCAAACCCAACACCATGCTCAAGTGGACATCGACGGAGAACCTCTTCGTGGATTGCGGGACGAAAGACATGAGCACTGAGCATGTACATAAGATTCTTAGCAGCTGCCGATGGAGCGTGACCTTCAACCAAGAGTTTGTCAAGCAGAAGCAGAAGACGAAGCCGAAGAAGCTCGCTGGCGGAAGCTGTGGGAGTCTGCTGGTAGGTAGTGCTTTGGGTGAAAACTCACCAATTTACCCATACCTAGCTCAGCTTAGTGCAAGCCCTGGATGGCACCAACGCGAAGGTGTCCTAATCAATGTGGCACGCCATGCAAAGTCTTTCAGAACTCCAGGAGCCCGTGTGGATCCAAAGAAATTTCCTTTGAGAACCACGTATGCCAGAATTGACCATCCAGACGGGAAGTCAGACTGGAGGATTTTGGAAGAAGGTACAGAATATGGCATTTTGCCAAATCCCCATGCGCTTTTGGGCACCATAGCTGGCATTTTGGTGACGGTGTATCGTTCCCAAGCTACAAATAAAGAAGAATCAACTGAAGAAACATGCACTTAGCTTGGAACGACTGGCATGAATCATTGCCGCACACCTTCATCCATGCTTGCCGCTGCCATTTACTTTTCAATGATCTGACATAGGCCTAAAGCCATATGCTGCTACGCCTGCACCGGAAACAGCTGCTGCCGCTAGCTTTTGCAGCTGGATTTGTCAATATATATATATAAGTGACTAATGATTGTTTTTTTGATCATAGGGTGTTGTACTACTGAGGTTAATGGCAAAACATTGAGATTCCGTATACGTGGTTGGCTAGTCACACCGTACGGGTCGTGTCCATAACCTGTGAGCAGACCGCGTTATGGGTACATGGGGAGGTCCGACAAAAAATAGGGAGGGTTTAAAATGCGCAGCTCAACCACCGGTATATAAGTAATATAAAGCCAACCGCAATATGCCATAATTTGGAGCTATGTAACATGGCTATGGGGCTATGGGAGTAAAGTGGTAAATTCTAAAATGGGAGACTTCAATCAAAAATGGAGGTTGAACCGTTGAACCCACCATTTTCCAGGCATTTCTCCCTCCCCGACCTTGTGACCTTTTTTTGTGTGATCACAGGAGGCCAAGGCAGAGAAGCCGACGCAAAACCTGTGGGGAGCCGAGAAAAATCGATCCATCCCCAGATGACTGGGCCACTGGGCGCTAAAAAAATCAGCCGAGGCCTCCGCCGACATGTGGAAAACCCTCCAAGAAACCGCGGTTCCGTGCGAACCCAGGGAACCCAGAAATGGGAACCCGTCGAAATCCGGGGAACCCGAGTTGCTCAGGAAAAAATGTGAACTTTTTGGTTTCTGGTTTCTGGTTTCATTTGAAGCTCAGATGGTCCCAGAGGCTTCCAAGTATTTTTGGTTTGTTTGATAGTTATTGATAGTTTGATTAGTGCCATGAAAAAATTGGCTGCTTGCACCTGGATCCGCAAGGAATGATGTGACATGGAATCAACCCTTCTAGGGTCTTCTAGGATTCTAGGCAAGAATCGCACAAGACTCGTGACTGTATATGTGTTTTTATTTGATTTCAATCTGATATGCAAAAAGATGTGGAAACATTATTCGGTATGTGGAGACAAATTGCAAGTCTCAACGGCAAAGTGCCAGAGATGTAGCCTTTTTTGGGAGGTATGCATCTTGTCCACAGCTTGTCCGGTGCGAAGCACGGAATGTGGGGCCTGGAACCCTAGTGCAAGGCAACGTCGCAGGGGAAGTTAGAGAACGCCTGCATCACCTACCACTGGACAGAACTAGGGTGAATTTGAGTGATCATCTTATATAGATCATCTTGCATTGACAGCTTCCAACAGTCGGCTGCCCTGCTGAGGCTATTTTTGATGGAGCGACCTGCAGGGTGATGCTCCTTTCTTTTTTAGAGGCCATGAATGGCCGGTGACCTTGATCATTTAGGCATGAAGTTTTGCTCAGCCTTGGGTTGTTCAGCGATGGTGGATGAACTTTAGGAAGATCTTTGGCCAAGCTTCTTTGCGAATCCGTGTAAAACAACATCCTAGCTGAGCTGTTTTGCATTGCAGATACTTGCATGAACAGCCCCAGAATCAGCTTCGTTTCACAGCATGCTTTCTTTGCGTATCGAACTACCCCTCACTTGCAGCTAGTCTGCAGCCAAGGCGACAGGTTGGAATGCACCCTGGAATTTGGCAGATTTCATTCAAGTATTGTGGATGCTTTGTTCAAGGGTTCCGGTTGCCCCATTCATGTACTCCACAAAACCATCATGGTGGGCCATGGCATTGACCTTGGTTTCTGTTGATATCTCCGCAGCATCTCAATCTACAGCCTTCATGTTTGCAGCCTAACTAATGCTCTTGAGCATTCACCGGTTGGGGATACTCATCAAAGAACCAAGGTGCCATTGGGGGCGAAACCACCGCAGAATGGTTTTGTCTAATTTTGCCTGATCATTTGCAAATAACATGGAACTCCATGAAGCCATTTTGCTGCAAGTGCGAGGGTGTGCTTTTCTTTTCCATATCTGAGGCCACGCACACGTTTTGCACCTTTTATCGCAAGTCGTCGAGTTGTGTCCTCATGCGTGTGTATGAAGTGGGTATGAAGTGGTCTAGGACACAGGTTCCATAGTCATTCCGAAAGGAATGGCACTGTCACTCCCGTGCTCAAAGAGGAAGCCATGGCGTTCTGTTGAGCGTGTCTCATCTAAAAACACCCAGATCCAATTGTTGGAGACAGAAGATATCTTGCACCGTCGGTACCACGGGGTAGAGTTTTTTTTGATACTTTTAGCAAGGGAAGGACACAGATAGGTTTTGGTTCTGCCTCAAAGAGGTTTAGTAGCTTTGCCTTTGGCGAAAAGTTCATGACCTCCATCCCAATCGTCCTGTTGATTCGAAAAATCCAGAGCCCTTTTGTGACACCAAAGGTAAACTTTTGGCTTGCTTTGACAAGTGCTTTTGCGAGAAGAAAAGTCTCTCTGCATGTCACTTGAATGAAATAGACCTTGCAGACAATATATATATATGTATATATATATGTATATATCGAATCTTGGAAACATGATGAAACATGGTAACATTTTGCCTTGCCGACCTTGCTAGATCTATACACTTTGACTGCAGCGTTTGTTGCTGCAGTGGGTTGTAGTTGTGTGGCTTCACCAACAAACTTTGTGTAGGAAAGACCTTCAGCATGATGCACAACTTGATCGCCCTTTACATTCCTAGGTGGGCCTTGCGAGATCATATCTCTGTGGCCAACACAAACCTTTATCTCTTGGACATCAACACATTGACATATTAACATCAATTGGGTCTCGATGCCAATAGCAGCCAGAGCACATCTCGCGGAAAATGTTCCCGTTTCCGATGCCCAATGCGAGCAGCATTGGAGGCCTGCTGTGATCTGAAATTGATGGCTGTTTTCAGGAAGTGTGACTAGACGAATCCCAGATCAGGGAGGAGATAAAAGGAATGGTTCTTCTTCTTCTTCTTGTTGTTGTTGTTGCTGTTTTGATTTTAGATCCATATAAATCCACGGTAAATCCATGGTGCCATCCAGGCTTTCTTGTTCCCTCAGGACACATTTTCACTTTTGGGGGGGTGCCCATGGTGCCCATGGTGCCCATGGCGCCCATGACAGCCCTGCTGGTTGATGATTACAGGGTCTTATAATAAGAGTCTAATATGATGTTATATGCATTAGATACATTATACCATGTTAATCTATGTTAGACTCTCCAATTTATAGGGGATTATCGGATTATCACATATCACAATCCATTCTGGGGAAATCCCTGCAAACCAACCGTCAGCGGCCCTCAGGTTTCTCGTGCCCTGAAGCCTGGACAATGTCCCAGCCAGGCGCAAGATCTGGGAAAGACTGGAATCTCAACCAATCTGGTTGGGGCCAAAGGTGGAAAACTGAAAATTAAATCCGAATTTGGGAATCAAGGTTTGAGACATACCTAGAATTTTGTTTCTGGTTTGTAACTGTTAGAAGGCCAAACTGAACCCCAGCTTTCATGCATTCGACATAACAGTTGGAGTTCGCACGCAGCTTGAGACACACCAATGAGGAGGTTTCTTGCAACATTTTTTTTCAACAAGAGCTACAGCCAGCAAGATCCATACCCTTTCGTGAAGAGTGCATGATTCATGAGGGTGGTCATTGTAATGCTACAGTGAATCTAGCATGGACATTAGAGCCTTCTCAACCACTGCTCTCTCTCACTCAGCTAATCTCCATGTGCAACCATTTTGCTGTGGGTTCTTCCGACTCGGAAAGCAAGCATCTCTCCATTGAGGCTGCCAGTCGCTTCCTGGAGGGGCTGAAGGTGCCATACTATGCAATACGCTCAAAGCGCAGTGTGGTGCCACAACTTTGGGAGACGACCCTCCAAGTTTAGCTCTGCTGGCAGGCGGCCGGAGCTCCAAATGCGGCAGGCAAGCGCATGGGGTGAGAGATCTCTGCATTCTATTGATGTCGAGGAAGTGCGAGGTCTGAAGAGATGTCTTCAGCATTTTTTTGGTTGCAAATGGATCATCAAAACGGAATACCATCCACATCTATGAATCCATGTATGTATGTAATGCAATGTGATGTAATACTATGCAATGCAATGTAATGCAATGCAATGTAATGCTACCTGATGTAATGTCATGTCATATCATGTCAGTGTCGTGTCATGTAATGTCATGTGATGTGATGTTATATCAGATATGTTATGTTTAAGTTTTGTAGTGTTATGTTATGTACGTACGTATGTGTGTATGCGCGTATGTGCGTATGTACATATATGCATAGTGTTTGGCAGGCATTCGGTGTGCATAATCATTGAGAACATTAGTGTGAATACGTAAATCGATGAACATACATTTTGGCATACCGAAACACTCTCCCGTTGGAGGCAGCCTGAGACAAACTTGAGGGAAGGAGTTAAAAAAAGTACATGTCGCTGCAAGATGATGCAATGCTTGCAAGCATTTTTCAACCTGTACTTCTCGCATCTAATTTCTAATGTAAATAAACAACAATAGGTAGATAACAATAGATAATAGATAAACAATGAACAAGTAATGAATAAATAGGTGCAGAAACAAATAAATAAAATAATTATAGAGCTTCGCAGACCGCCGATTCCAAAAAGGCTTGGGGTGAGGACTTGGCCGGCAGCTGAGCGGCAGGGGTGGCGGCCGCTATATGCCTATGGCGGGTGGTGGCGGCGGCAGCTGTGGTTGTGGTTGTGGTTGTGGTAATGGTTTCGGTTGTTGTTGTTGTTGTGGTGGTGGTGGTGGCCATGTTGGGGCCATGTTGGTGCAATCTTGGGCCATGTTGGGGCCAGATTGCGGCCGTGTTCGTGTTTTTTTTGTCAAGCGAAATGCAGTCCAAGCGGCGGTTGTATGAACTACACGTCAGCAGTGTTCGCGTGAACCATCAAATTCCCCGGAAAAACAATTTGATCCCATTCGTCGTGGTCCATTGCTATTGGGGAGAGCGTAGTCCAGATCGCAGTGGTATCATACCAGTCTGCAAGGGAAGGTCCAAAATATATGTGAACCATGGACTGAGTGCCTGTGGTGTACATTGGATGGGAAATTTCTTGGGTGGTGGGATGCTGATTTCTTCTAAGTTGCTCAGAACGGTGAAAAGCTTCTGAGAGAGCAATTTCAGGCGAATGCGCCCTAGGTCTACCAAGACGGAATGGAGAAGAGAGGCGCCGGAGGGCATGTGAGGCATGGAAGATGATCCTATGCTCTAAGGCTTCAAAATGCCGAAGAAGATGACCGAGGTAACGCAATCGCTGGACGGAAATACGCTGACTGGGTATCAGGAGAGGGCATGACAGTAGGCGAGGGAGAGCGAGTATCATTGGAACCGTCCTCCTGAGAGGGGTGAAGGATTCGATGGTAGTAAGAGCTTTTAACTTGAAAGATTTGTCGCAGAACCTTATAGTGAAGAGAATTGAGCCTTGTGATCTGCGCAGGGGTAAAAACTTGAGATCCACTCCCATAGAGGAAGATGGCAAGCACAATTTGCGCATACACCTGCAATTTACGGCGCGAGGGGAGGGACGGATTGTGAAGACGGGACAGAGGGAGCGAAACGCGCCTATCGCTTGCGAGCAGCGATAATTGCAGTCCGGTGCAGAAGATGCATTTGCAGCTACGTAGGCCCCAAGATATTTGGCTGACTGCAGGGGTGGGATTTGAACACCCAAATCATCTGTTCCCATGCAATGTAGGCAGGAGCAAGGGGAAAGTGGGGGTGATATGAGGTGAGAGATGAATGGAGAGATTGGAATGGAGGCGCAGAAGTTGGCACTACCGGGGTTGAGAAGCAAGCCGTGCTTGCTAGCTTCATGCTGGAGACTGTGCAGGAAGCGGTGTAGAGTAAGTTGGGTGCGGGCAACTAGAACTGTGTCGTCAGCATACTCAACATCAGTCATGGGAGAACGAGAAGAGAATGTCCACGGGGTAAAGTGGAACCGGGTTTCGAAGGAGAATTGGACATCATGCATTACCCCGTCAGAACTATGATAAACAGATATGGGCTGAGAGGGCATCCGTGGCGGATCCCACGTGAAAGGGAGTACCTGGCGGAGAGATAAGAAGAGGAGGAAACAAAAAACATGCTGTCTACAAAGAGTGCTGCTATAGCGTGCGCAAAAGGGAGATGCACGCCAATATGGACAAGGGAAGCAGCCAAATGCTCGTGGCTAACGCTGTCAAAAGCCTGAGACCAGTCCAGGGATAGAATATACAAGGGTGTGGTATGACGCTCAAACAGTTCTACCATTCGACGGATGATGAAGAGAAGTGCACTTGTGGATCGGCGCGCTCGAAAGCCACATTGAAAGTCGCTGATGCGATGATCGAAGTGGAGAGCCAACCGGCTTTGGAGCAAAGCAGCAAAAACTTTTAAACTTTGTAAATAGAGTTCGCTAAGCTTATTGACCGATATAAAGAGGGCAAACGATGGCAAACGGCTGTTCTTTGACCCACCTGTGAAGATTATAACCACCCTTGCTAATTTCCAATGGTCTGGAGCTGAAGCAGACAGAAAGCAGGCATTGAAATACTCGAGCAGAAGGCGGCGCATTGCAAACAGGAGAAGCTTGTACAAATCAGCACCAGCGCGGTCAGGGCCAGGCGCCTTGCGCGATTTTAATCGTCGGAGTGCTAGGTGTAAGTCGGTAATGGTGAAGGTTGTGAAGGCTTCAAAGACACAAGGGTAAATGGGAGTCTGGGAGGGAGGGGGGCATAAGGCAGGTTTCCGTACTTCATCTCGGCCCTGAAGGCCAAGACACTGATTGAGTTTGCGGCTGGTACTTGTATCGGACCCGCTTGATTGTTTTCCAGCGGTCAGCTGGCGAGGCCCTGTGGTCAACTTCCAGCTGGCGTAGAGTCCAGCGTTTGCGATCTCGCCGTGCGTGTGAGCGAATGTGCCGGCATAAGGTCTCCTATGTTGTAATCTGCGGGTCCTCACAATAAGATCACATTGAAATGCATGCCTGACAAGACGAAGGTGTCACAAGCGCACTGAAGCTCGTGCCAAATGCCTCCGTGTTCGTGATGAAAGGCAAAAAGCACACCCAAAACGCGATTCGCAGAATTAATTGCAAAACATAGGGGTGGGCCTGGGTTCGGTCAGCGGCTTTTTTTCGACATGGCTTCAATACGACCAGCTTGGACCATCTTTTTTGGGCCATGTCGAAAGTAGCCTGGTCCATCTTGTGGGAACCTGTTGTCCGTTGGTTTTCATATACTCTTCGATTGTTTTTTTCAGTCATTCCTGTGCGCTGTGACATCGGATTTGTTGGCCACACTTTGACTTTTGGCGGTTTCGTTTGCTCCGGGATGTTGTGGACGCACGTGTTTGCAACCTAAGTTCGCTAAGTACAATGCAACTTCAGCAAGTAAGATATGGTGGAAACATCGTTTCCCCCACCTGACTTTGATCTGAAGCCATTCAGTAGATGATTCCTTTCACATTCTAAGTGGTACTGGTTATATGTCATCATCGGCACCTTCAAGTTCAGGATGCTAGATAATGAACAGACATCGGTGGTATTTCCATGGCGAGTACGCCAAACCATGGCTTTTCCTTTCTCATTCTTGGTGGGTCTGAGGGCACCACTGGGGTTGAAACCATACCATGGAGACACGCGATTTACCAGCAGTTGGGTTTCAGAAAGCTGACCTGTTTGTGAGGAGCCCTTCCTTGATTATCACGAAAGCTAGCGTCAGCTAGCTGGAGTCTTCTTGCTTTAGCAAGTATTGGGGGGGCTGCTCAAGGACATCACGTGATTTTTCACGCGAAAGGGGGCCCCCCCCCTCCCCCACCACCACCACCACCATCACCACCATCATCATCATCATCATCGTCATCATCATCGTCATCATCATCGTCATCATCATCGTCATCATCATCGTCATCGTCCTCTCCATCGTCCTCGTCCTCGTCCTCGTCCGCGTCCTCGTCATCATCATCATCATCATCATCGTCGTCCTCGTCATCGTCCTCGTCATCGTCATCGTCATCATCATCATCATCGTCATCATCATCATCATCAACAGCATCCTCGTCATCATCATCATCATCATCATCATTATCTATCTATCGATCGATCGATCGATCGATCGATCGATCTATCAATCAATCAATCAATCAATCAATCAATCAATCATCATCGTCATCATCATCGTCATCATCATCGTCATCGTCCTCTCTATCGTCCTCGTCCTCGTCCGCGTCCTCGTCATCATCATCATCATCATCATTCATCATTCATCATTCATCATTCATCATTCATCATCCATCATCCATCATCCATCATCATCATCATCATCATCATCATCATCATCGTTATTCAATTACATTTTATCATTATTGGCAATTATTGTCATTATCACGAAAGCTAGCGTCAGCTCGCTAGAGTCTTCTTGCTTTAGCACGTATTCCGGGGCTCCCCAAGGACATCACGTGATTTTTCCCGCGAAAGGGCCCCCCCTGCCCCCTCCCCCATATATATCATTGTTATATATCATATATCAATATATCATTGTTGCATCCTCGTTGGGACGAACAATGCCGCGACACGATGATGACAGTCCCTCCGCAACTCACCTCTTCCCTTCCTTCTTTCTCCTACCCCGCTAGCTTTCGTCATCCACCCCCGGCCTCAAGTATTGGCGGGAGATGGGTCAAGTCACCTATGGTACCAAAATCGGATGAGCATGACAATCAAGACCACTTTGTGAACAGTTTTGGGGGTCCGCGGTGTTTTGGACCCATCCAGTATTGATAGTATGATATGCATCTGCCGGTCATTTGTGTCAAAAGCAATGCGTTTGCCATATTTTTTTGGGAGTACCATACCCAAAATCTTTGGGAAAAAACCGTCGCCGCCCCTTAGCTTCTTGTTGTTGTTGTTGTGGTGGCGGCGGCGGTGGCGGTGGTGTCCGCATCCTCTGTTCCCTGGCGCGTGCCCCTTTGCTGTTTGTTGGGGCCAGCGGATATAGATAAACCAAATAAAAGAATCAACAAGCAAACAAACAAGCAAACAAACAAACAAGCAAGCAAGCAAGCAAGCGGACGAACGAACAAACAAACAATCACACACCCATGTTCTTCCCTCGAAAACCAGACTTGTGGAACTGCAAATCCCGCGTCGCCGGTGGAGGCATCACGGTGGGTCGCTTCGGGCTGGAGGATGCTGCGGTGTTGACGCAGCGCTTCGCTCGGCACGTGCCTCAGCCGCCCCAGAGTTTCTTCCGCGAGGCGGCTCTCCCATGGCAGCCATGGCTGGGAGCATTTTTTTGGGATTGGCGCAACATGTTGAATTGGGTTTCTATAGCTAAGAAGGATGATAAAGAATTTATCAAAGAAAGTTTAGAAGTCTATACTTCCGAGTTATGGCTAGCAATGGATGTCACAGCAAACCGATGTCACAGCAAATGGAGGTCACAGCATCATTGACTGGAATTTTGACGGGGTGTAAAAGGCGCCTCATATGCGAAAAACACCGGATAACATTGAACCGATGCCGCAGCCGCAAAGCACAAACTGCGACCAAAGCACAGCTGACTCACCTGACAGCAAGGGTGGGCCCAGCACAGCTCATCGCCTTCTGGCTCCGGGTCTTGTTCTGTGGGCAGGGCCAAGGTGCGGCGAGCCTTGGGGAGGCTTTACTCCCCTTCGCGTGCCAGCCAACTTTTGGCTGAAACGCGTCAGTGCCCAGCAAAGAACGTCCTTCAAGAAACAAAATGACCGCAATTTTCAATTGATTTACAAACTTCAGATTTGAATGCGCCAAAAGCATCCTTTGATATGGCATTAATCCTGGCTAAGGCTCTCAAGTCCCGACAAAAGAAAGAACATTTAGCCAAAACAGAGCAGTGAAACGACGAGATGAAATTTTAGTTGCGGTGTGTCGTGAATTCGTCCTTGTGTCGTTGTGGCTCTGGCCTCAAAACTGAATGTTCCCAGAGATTTGCGAACCCGATCGGAATTGCCCAGGGCCCAATTTTTTTCAAGTAATTAGCGCACCCATAATTGGCGCACAGCGTGATGAGATGAGATTGGAGAACACAGACTGCGGTGACAGTGAGATGCAATGAGCAATTTCCAAGAGAAGCTGCGATGCGATGAGATCAGACGAAATCAGCCAAGATCCAACATTCAAAAGACATGGCGCCGGAATGGCAAGTCAAGAAATTTTTGCTGCAAAACACAGAAGGCTTGCCTGCATCCTATAGGCACTGTCTTGGTTCCGCTCTATAGGCTGCATATATCAGCGTTTCAATTTTGAAATTTCCGCCCCCCGCTTGCCCGGGCACTACTTGTATAAGGACCTTTGGCAATGGCGCAGAAAAAACTAGTATATCCCAATGTGAAAGATGCGTTTGCTGTGTATTGTGGTGTGAGACCGTGAACTCAATTTTCATCTCATCACATGTTTGGAAACCTCTAGAATCCACGTTTTCCAACCGCAAACTGATGGGCCAAAACTTTTGCCATGGTTGGTCAGTGTGACAAGTTTGTATTGGAGGTGGCAAACCAAGTGGAACCTCCTTTACATCATTGGGCGCGGCAGCGAACGTGAGGGAACACAGACCAGCCTGAGTTGAAAGTGATGTTAAAGCCTCCCACCAGCCTTCAAATCAATGTTTTCGATTGTTTACCAACTCGCTGAAGTGGCACCATGCCTTCCCATTGATTTCTGAGGACAGCCCTGCCGATTTCAACGGCCAGAGAGGACATCTTCAACGTCGAAGCTCCCGTCCAAGGCAGACCAACACAGCTGGTCATTCTTGTTGCTGGTGGGAAATGCGTTTGAGCACAATTTGATATTTGCTTTGTATCTGGAAAATGAAGTCGAATGTATTTTTGGCCCTATACACGCTGTATGTATGTTGAAAGAGGGCCATGAATGCGGTACACACAGTCAATCTGTCTGAATGTCTAATTATTCTGTGCGTTTTCTTTAAATCATTTCTTTGAGTCTATATCCCTAGGTCTTGCATGTTTAAATCCAAAACCACATATTGTAAGCCGAAATAGACTCACCATCATCGCGAATTTGACCCAAGATGTCTTCTTTCTAAAGACCAATTCCTCAAAATTGTTCATCGAACCTAGCAATGGACACTGTTTTTTTTGGGCGGAAAAACGTCAGTAATGGGACAATTTCCCAATTAGAATGCCACACCCCCCTGGGTAATGATACAGGATGATATAGTATAACAGTATAACACTACCCATAATATGATATTATGATGTAGTTGTAATTCCAATTTCCCACTGAACTCCGTTATATTTCCAACTACTCAATGGTTGTAGCAACAGAATGATGGGGTCCCCTGGCGTGCGGCCCCAAAAAGGTACTACAGCAGTTGTCCTGGCCGACGCATTTGCAAGAAGTCGCTGCTATGATGGTGGGGTCATGGGGATGCCCATGGAAGGGGTTATATCTACAGTTTATGGGGGGTGTATCTACAGTAAAAAAATGTGAATGGGAATTATAGACCAACTTTTATAACTGGGTGGGGACCACCCTGATCCATGACACTTATGAGAGAAGCAGCCTGCCAGGTGCGAAACTCATCGGCATGGTGTGTCTTTGTACCCCACCCACCTTGCCACTCTCCGCCATTGAGGCCTGGAGGAATCTGACTTGTGGGTCCATGGTAGCCAACTTTTTGAACCATACCCAAAATGTCAAGGACCATCCAAAATCGATTAGATGTCAGATTTTCGAAATCGCAAAGAATCATCCCTGCATCCTGAAACAGAGAAATGCCATGTGTCCAACCCTTACAACGTAAGCTGCTCAGAGAGCTCAGAGATGGCATCATAAATAGATCACAAGCAGTTTGGCCGCCTGGCCCTGTGGTCAGGTGCTACAGTTCATTGAGTCCTTGAGTCTGCTGGGCACTTCCACTTTTCATGATCCATCCGTGTGGGGATCCCCAGAGAGACATGGGATCCAGCGATGCTGTTCCGATGGTGGTGCAAACAGGCGTGGCTTTCTCTTGATGCGCTTGAAGGTTGTTGCGCCCGGGCCTTGAGAGCACAAGGGAGCACAAGGGCACCGGCTTGAGTCTGGTTGATGGCCCTTTGGGATAATATACATAATATATCATGATATATGATGATATATGTAGATGTATAATTATAACTGTTGCTACCTGGTTTATTCGGGAATTATTAGGGCCATCAGAAAGTCCGAATGGAAATGATCCATGCCCAACTGACCCTGTCGTTTGATGGTTGTCCGGGAAGATTTTTCTATTTGCTTTAGGAATGATTTTCATCCGTCATTCATCGATTGGGATATTCAATCAGCATTGACATCATTCATCAACCGGGAAATTGTGATGCATCTTGCTGTATCTTATTTAGGATTGATGTGGGAGTCAGTTTCACGGTAGTAGACTGCTTGGAACCAACGGATTGATGTATCGTATCCGTGATGGGATAATTATGATTCTATGATGTAATCTTGTACAACCATTTGGAACTAATTATCTTGTCCTAAATGTATCTTATCCATAATGGTCCATAATGTATGATTCAACTTGGAACTATGTGGGAATCTGAATGAACTGGTTTGGATGTGGCCATGGCAGGGAGCAGATGGACGGAGCCACCTTGGCACAATGTGCCAAGCAACTAGCACTTGCAGGAGGGGAAGCTCCTCAGATATCCTCAGCTGTTTCCTTCTGGAGGAAGCACTCAGAGTGCGAAAAAGGGTGCACCCAAATTTGATTGTTTATCACCATTAGGCCAGTATATACATGTATATACCCCATCAGACAGACACGTCTAAGTCTAGGGTCGAAGCAGAATCAAGGAGATTTCTTAGAACCTGCAGTAAACACCTGGCTTGTCTGCCATACTTTTTTTTTTGTGACAAAGTCAATGCTTCTTTGAATCTACCCTAGAAAACCACCGGCAGATGACTGACCCCTTGTATGTCAGGCATTTATTCTCCTGAGATCAGTGAGGAGGTGGCGCGGCAATTGGAAGGCTGGCATCTTTTGTTGAGCGGGTTTGTGGTAGAACCGGAGGAATCTCCACAACTTTTCAGAGAAAGCATATGTTTTCCACCTCTGAATATGTTTTTGCATTTGTTGTGGCAAGATTGGAGTACGGCAGTACGGCACAGCGCATGTGATGTCCAGCCATTTGTCGGATTTTTTCTGCGACAGCTGGGGTCGCTGCCGTATGGCAGGTAACCCTTGGTCTTTCACCCCCGGCGACCTGCAGTGTTGCTTGGTGCATTGAATTGCTGGAATTGTACGTAAAGACTCAACGGTATTCGGCAAGATTGGGATATATTGGTTACGTGCAATGAATGGATAATAGCATCAACAAAGCTTGAGGATTGGGCTCATCTTTCCGAACAGCACACATTGTCACATAACCTTTCCAACACTTTGAGGAGTAAGGGAGGTGCTAAACTTCATTCACCAATGCGTTATCCAGCCACGGTTGAATTGAACCAGAGATTAGCCTGCAACATGATGAAATGGAGTGTCTGAATGCACAGAATCCAATTTTCCGATATTTTACCCAGCTGCAGTTTGCCATGTTTACAGCAGAACTTGTGTGCAAGGCTTATTACCACACTTCGGCAGATGGCAGCTTGGTGAGGTTGGTACAGTTCTGTGGCATCCAGTTGACATCACTGGACACATCTCGTAGCCGTGGCCCCGGCAGTTGCAAAAGCGAGCCTTCCACACCTTGGGCCGCCGCTTTGCAGAACATGCCGAGCTGCTCTCGCCCATGCAGGAGAAGCTGCAGCTGTTGCAACCGAAAGATAAGGAACCCCCCTTACAAGTAGAGATTAAAATGAAAAGGGATCATTGTAGCACCCCACACACACACAGGTTACACTTTGCTGTCCAGAGTCTAATATCAGCTGTTACACATAAAATAAAAATGAATGCCTGGCAATTGAGAAAGCGTTAAGGCAAACATGTCAGCTCATTCCATCTCCCATAATACTATATTCCGGTTGCAGGCGTTGAAAGTCATTGAGACCTTCACTGACATTGGCAACGTTCACGAGGCCCGGATTGCAGCCTCTCTTTTTATGCGATTGGAACTTTTTTTAGGTGCAGTTGAGGTTAGCAATCCCAACAAGATGGTATGATGGTGAATCCCATTGTGTATATCCCATAGTATACTATGGTTATGTATGAATGGTTGAACAAAGCGCGATTCCACAACTACGTTCTCACGATTCCAGAACCAAAACCACGCGATTCCACAACCAAACCACGCGATTCCGCAACCAAAACCGGCGCGCTTCCACAACTACATTCTCACGATTTCACAACCAAAATCCCACGATTCCACAACCAAAGTCCCACGATTCCACAACCAAACTCCCACGATTCCACAACCAAACTCCCACGATTCCACAACCAAACCCCCACGATTCCACAACCAAACTCCCACGATTCCACAACCAAACTCCCACGATTCCACAACCAAACTCCCACGATTCCACAACCAAACCCCCACGATTCCACAACCCAAATCTCACGATTCCACAACCAATATCTCAGGATTCCACAACCAAACTCTGAGGATTCCACAACCAAAAGCAGCCCCGCTTCTTAAGGAAGACTACCGCTACTTACTTTCATTATGCAAGATTCTTGACAAGTTACAAGGCATTTAAAAATCACCCACCCCCGCAAAACAATAGATCCAATTTAAGTCTTCAGCAAGCAGCCCCGCTTCTTTGGGAAGACTACCGCTACTTACTTTCATTAAAGAAGATTCTTTGGTTCGGGCACCTGCCTCTATAATTGCCCCTTTGTGTCGCGGCTGACGTGTACCGTTCTGGTTGACGTTGTCGGTGACGTTGTAAACCCCATTTTTTTTTTCTTACGTAAATTTTGACGTTGTAAACGCCGATTTTTTTTTCCTTACGTAAATTTTGACGTTGTAAACGCCGATTTTTTTTTCTCTTACGTAAATTTTGACGTTGTAAACGCCGATTTTTTTCTCTTACGTAAATTTTGACGTTGTAAACGCCGATTTTTTTTGTCTTACGTAAATTTTGACGTTGCAAACACCGTTTTTTTTTTGTCTTACGTAAATTTTGACGTTGTAAACCCCGATTTTTTTTGTCTTACGTAAATTTTGACGTTGTAAACGCCGATTTTTTTCCTCTTACGTAAATTTTGAGGTTGTAAACGCCGATTTTTTTGTCTTACGCAAATTTTGACGTTGTAAACGCATTTTTTTCTAACGTACATTTTGACGCTGTATATACGCCAAATTCTTTTTTCTTACATAAATTTGGATCTTGTAAACGCCACTTTTAGTCTTGTTCATGTCATGATTGATGTTATCAACCCCGAACTTTTCTTGCTTCAAGTCATGACTGACATTGTGAGTTGTATTTTTTTGTTTCCTGTGATTTATGCGTCATGAGTCATGATTCATGATTTACTATGCGCGCCCATTTTTGTTCATGTCGTTATTGCAATGATGTTTTTGATGTTGAGATGGGTCAATTCTTTTTAAATTTTGTATTGTCACACTCCTGATTCCTGATTACAGTTTTTGGTTTTTGTTTGTTTCTTGAAATTCAGCTGGCATTGAAGCTGGTGGGTGTGTTTAACTTGTCTTTTTGTCCCTCCATTGGCCCTTCATTTGTTGGTTATGCCGTCTTCGTCGTCGTCGTCGTCGTGGTGGTTGTTGTTGTTGTTGTTGTTGCTCTTCTTCTTTTTCTTCGCTTTCCTGTTCTTGTTCTCGTTGCTCCGTTCTTGGTGATAACCGTGCTTGTGGGTCACTGTCACACATTGCTACATGGTTGCGTTGTCACATCGTCACTTCCTGCTTGTAAGTGTTGCATAATGCATAATGCTGAATAAATGATGAACTAATTCGTTTCCTTAAACCTGGTACCTGGTAGATCCTGGTAGGCTGTGGAAAGTAAAACTGGTAGGTAACGGCAGGTAACAAGACAAGACTCACCTGCGAGAAAGGCAGGTCCGATCAGGATGCACACACGCACGCACGTCCACGCACGTACGCACACACGCAACGCGACTCTACGCGCCCCGAAACCAAGCAAAATTCGATCTCACTGAAGTACTGTGTGACTAGTGCTGTAAACTAATGGGCAAATGTGTGATGACACACGGGCAAATTATAGAGGCAAGAGCTTAATATAAACAAAGTCCCGAACTATCCCGAACTATTCCGAACTATTCCGAACTATATGAAATGCATCCGAACGGTTCAGAACGGTTCAGGTGTCACACCGTTTTCCCCATCCTTGCCCCCAGGATGGATCTCAGAGGGCCACTGACCGCTCACGTGACCAGATTGCCTGCCTTAGACGGGTTTGGGTGTGACATATACTTGTCAGAAGATTGTGAAATTTAGCCTAAGTTTCTTCCAGCCCCGTTCTTTGGGAAAACATTCTGCCACTCGTGTCACAGCCTAAGTTACTTTCAGACATGTTTTTCTTCACCGAAGTTTTACTTGAAGTACCTTGGCTTATGGCAATTTACAACTCACAACTTGCAACTGACATCACTTGTCTTACAACTTTTCTTCCTCTTATAATTTGTAACTAACTTAAAACCTCATAGCTTAAAACCTTTACTTGCTTACAAGTCATGCATCTTCAACTTGTTAACTTAAATGATAATATGTTGTAAAAATTGCCCACTTTTAAGCCTAGAATCTAAGGCAAAAACCTGATACGCTTGAACCGTTCTGAACCGTTCGGATGTATCGGAGGCCTGAGTTCGGATTAGTTCGGAATAGTTCGGAATGGTTCGGGATAGTTCGGAGACGCCTGAACCGTTCTGAACCGTTCGGATGTATCAGAAACTGATACGCCTGAACCGTTCTGAACCGTTCGGATGTACCGGAAATTTACCATGTTTTTAAAAGTATTTTTCTATATTTTTTGAACTTAACTTGAACTTAATGTTTAAACATGTAATTTTATCATCATTGACATGGATAACTTACTGATAACTTAATAACCTTTCATCTGGTGGGCTGACAAAAACAGATACTTTAACTTAACTTATCACTTATCAGAATAATGAATCAAAACTTCATAATCGTAATGAATCAAAAATGCCAAATTTACAGCATCAAAATTTACGTCGGGAAAAAAACACCAAATTTACAACAAAATTTACGTGAGGAAAAAATAACACCAAATTTACAACATCAAAATTTCCGTGAGAAATCGTGAGAAAAATATGCCAAATTTACAATATCAATATTTACATGAGAAAAAAACGCCAAATTTACAACATGAAAATTTACGTGAGGAAAACAAAAACGCCAAATTTACAACATCAAAATTTGCGCGCGAAAAAAAACACCAAATTTACAACATCAAAATTTACGTGAGAAAAAAAAACCGCCAAATTTACAACATGAAAATTTACGTGAGAAAAAAAACGCCAAATTTACAACATGAAAATTTACGTGAGAAAAAAACGCCAAATTTACAACATCAAAATTTACGTGAGAAAAAAAAACCGCCAAATTTAAAACATCAAAATTTACGTGGGAGAAAAAAAACGCCAAATTTACAACATCAAAATTTACGTGAGAAAAAAAAACGCCAAATTTAAAACATCAAAATTTACGTGGAAAAAAAAACGAGAAATTCACAACATCACTTACAACATCGAGGACAACATTGGACGTGTGCCATAACACAGATAGAGGCAGGTGCCCGAACCAAAAGATTCTTGACAAGTTACAAGACATTTAAAAACCCCCCACCCCCGCAAAACAATAGATCAAATTTAAGTCTTCAGCAAGTAGCCCCGCTTCTTTGGGAAGACTACCGCTACTTACTTTCATTAAAGAAGATTCTTGACAAGTTACAAGACATTTAAAAACCCCCCACCCCCGCAAAACAATAGATCAAATTTAAGTCTTCAGCAAGCAGCCCCGCTTCTTTGGGAAGACTACCGCTACTTACTTTCATTAAAGAAGATTCTTGACAAGTTACAAGGCATTTAAAAATCACCCACCCCCGCAAAACAATAGATCCAATTTAAGTCTTCAGCAAGCAGCCCCGCTTCTTTGGGAAGACTACCGCAATTTCCTTTCATTATACAAGATTCTTGACAAGTTGCAAGGCATTAAAAAATCCCCCACCCCCGCAAAACTTGGGTTAGAGCAGTTCATGTCTTGGTTTGGTTCAAATCCCTTTTGGTTTTGGAATAACACGTTTTGGTTATGGAATAATGGTTGGTTGAGGAATCATACGGTTTGGTTAAAGAATATTTCGTCTTAGTTATGGAATAATCGTTGGTTGAGGAATAACACTTCATGGTTGAAGAATAATACGTTTTGGTTATGGAATAATCCTTGGTTGAGGAATAATTCGTTTTGGTTATGGAATAATTTGTTTTGGTTATGGAATAATCTGTTGACCTAGAATGGTTAGTATATATATATAGCATAACTCACCTATGATTATGGCCACATTACCAAGTTGTTAAGTGGAACTGCACCCCCCAAACAACAACCGCAGCCAGGTTGCCTTGCAGACACTCTTCCTGCGTTTGTTGCTGGAACGCTCCTTCACAGAGCTGGGGGCTACTAGACAAAGATAGAAAGATCGCTTAGATTCGCATTTCACTTAGACTTAGTTCGTTCCACATGTTTCTTGGAATTATATAGATAATTAGATCAATATTAGATCAATATTTTTGTTGGCTAAATCCATTCATTTTTCTTGGATGATCATTTAATTGATGTTATAATGATGTTAGTCATTATATAATGATGTTAGTCACTGTTAGTCCGCTAGATTCAACCCATTTTTTCAGTTGATTTCGCTTCGATGGGCCCAGGTGGGTGTTGCGCGGCTGGCAGCATCCATGTCTAAGGCGTGGCTTGGACCAGCGGGATTTGACCTGTTGATATCATCATACACAGTTCATGGATTTACCCTCTGGTAATTTAACATAGCTATGGAAAATCACAATTTTTAATGGGAAAATCCACTATAAATGGTCATTTTAAGCAAACAAAAACACATTTTTTGATATTTTTTGAAGGTATGAAGGTATGAAATCTATTTAAATCTATAAATGGGATTTTATATTATGATTTTATACCCAGCATATTCCAGCCAGCCATTAGCGATTTGATATGCATTTGCCCTCGATACAACCTGGTAGCGTCATTTGTGCCTTCGAGCCATGGCATTGCAGGTCCAGCACTACCACACTGGTCTGTTGCGCGAAATCGTTTGCTACATCCAAGAAGAGTCACTTGGCTTAACTGGACTGCAAAGCCGGGCCAGCTGAAAACAGCTAGGATGAAAAGCCCCCTGCTTTGCTAGGTGTACATGGGTTCAATTTGAATCACCTTGTTGGGACATTCGTGGATTTGAACTGCTCAAACCTTGCCATGGGCCTATTGCAGGATGACATGAGAAGGTCTGTGGCTTCACCGTGCACTTGGCAGGCCCCAAGCATTGGAGAACTGGACAGCTTCGGATCTTTCGGGGGCCCTGAGAAGCATTGGCCTGGCACCAGTGAAGGTGTTTGGGAAACCCAGAGCTGAGGGCAGGGACTGCAGTTTGTTTGAAGACAGGGCACCCACGGGTACAACTAGCCCCAAAATCCAACAGAGCCTCATCTTCTTATATCTTATTAAATCTTATTATTTATTTTCCCAAGTTTAAAGAGGGATGGTTTTTGATACGTTTTCGACGCAGAGAAGTGCTGGTGCCGTCCAAGCGATACTGTGAATCACGGGGAAAGATCATGGGACAGGTTGGTATTGATGTCCAATCTTGATTTCCATCATTTTCATTCCAAGCAGTGAAATCAACCCAGAGATTTCCATCATTCCAAGGCCTTGAAGAATTCATGCCGCATTCCAAGGCCATCCGCCACGCAGGTCCTACTGGGCTGCCGCTATTCTGTCCGAAGACCCAGCTCAAGAGTTTCCTGCCAAAGGGCTCTTCAGGTGTGATTTTTTCAGTCAAAAAGTGTGCCTCTCCAATATATCAGTGGCCAAACTAACATAACTATGGAAAATCACCATTTTTAATGGGAAAATCCACTATAAATAGCCATTTTCAATAGCTATGTTAGTCATTACCAGAGGGTATCAGTGGCCAGTGACGGCTTTGGAGTTGGCCCTTGTGTGACGGGGTGACACCGCAGCCATGGCGCCATGGCCACGGCGCCTTAAGGCGCTGCTAAGCTCAATGACCAACGCTGAGCTGACGGACATGTTTGAGATCAGCAGCCTTTTGGCGGCCATGGCCATCGAAGGGATATTTCTCGGTGTCCCCAGATTAGGGTGTTTGGACGACATGGGACACACTTAGATAAATGATGATGAATGAAAACTGAGTTAGGGGTACTGTACCTTATTCTTATGCTCACCTTTGGAAGCTCTTCTGTTGATGCCTGTTGCAACCGGAATCTACATCGAATTTGTAGCTCAAATTACAAGTGTGAACAGACTCACCACATGTTTGAGTGCAAAATGTCTGCAGAAAGCCAGTGTGTTGAAGGTGGTTCGATTCACCAAGGTTGGCATCCCGAAATCTTGCGTGGCGTTGTGCTGCGCGTTGGACGAAGTTTGCGATCGCGGCTGTCCTCGGCAGCTTTGGAGTCTGCTGGTGAAATTTGGGGCTCCAAAATTGGGGGCTTCATAGTTTAATGGACACACAAATTCAATGTTTTTTTCATTTTAGTCAGCATGAACATATCCAAGTTTAGGTGTCAACATTTGTGGGATTGCGCCAAGTCATGAAGGATTGTCGAAGTTGAAGTAAGCGGCAAATGGCATTGTTTGGACCCGGCAGTTTGTTCCTTTGATACTCTTTCACGTTGACAAGTGCCAAAATTGTTGGAAGCCTTTCTGCGCCTTTTCTGGTGATCCCTCTCACTTGTTTTATCTCTCTTTTGCAGCTTCTGACATTGCTTCACCTCATGCACCAAGCTGAAACTTTGTGTGATATCAAGATATATTAAGATGATGAATACCACCTCATTTGTTCGCCCCAGGTGGGGTCCACGAGCTTGTATCGATGCAGCTTTGGGCCTGGTTCTGGCTGCAGATGTGGCTCCTGACAAGGCTGAAACCATGGAGTGGCCAGTTTACCGTTTACCCGTTTACCCGGGCATACCCGATTAATTACCCAAATTGTGGTTGTTTTCTTGGGGTCATGCAAGCTTTTCTTTTGCTCCGAATCAGATGTGACTTCTTACCGTTCTCCAAATGTTGATGGTTCGTCCAGCGGCATACGCAGCCTGGAGGCATTCACTGGATGTCAAGGTTGCGCCTGTGGGGCTGCAGGCGCCATGAGACTGCAAGAGACCCATTGCGATGCCAAAGTGAGGTAGGGGCCAATACCAACCAACCAACCCCAAAATTTGGTTGATGGAAGCCTGGGTACTAGAATTTGACCCATCTCCAGTTGAGGAATCAGAAGAAAGTATCATCCTCTTGTGAGTTTCCGACCAGCCCCATCATTCTGCCATCGAAGAGCGGCTGCAGGTCCCTCTTTGCCACGGAACCAGTTCCGCACAGAGCAGCCAGAGTGGCAACTGCAGGCACGGCAAGGATTGTCTCTTTCCTTCACACCAAATGTCTTAGTGACTAATAGTGCAGTATGGGTTTGTCTAAAAAATCAGGAAAAATGAGGAGAATCCATTGGACTTGGGGGACCCACGCCATCAGGTGATTCTCCGTGCTGCTCGCAGCTACAAACAACGTGGCCTACGGCAGCGAGTGGCGTGGGCCTCGGCTCAGCAGAGACATGTGCAGTTGGAATACGGACCCACAAATGGCTGGTTTCAGTATCTACGCATCCATTTTTGGGTCAAACTGAGTCTCTCAAGGGATCACAACCAAACACTAGTTGACTTTACCACAAAACCATTCACTTTGGGGTTAAATATCTTAAGAAACCCAAAGCGTTGAACAACTTACCCCAACCGATATCAATGTAGACCTAGGGTAAGTTGATGAGTTTCTGATCCGATCGTTGAGTACCTTCTGATCCTCTCAGAAGACATTGATATCATTGGCCCTGAGGCGCGACCAGACATGCCTTTGAAGGGTGATGGGCGCCATCTTTTCTTTGCAGAGGAGCAAGCCCCTTTGAAGCTTCCAAGGACAGGGTCTAGTGACCTCCGAATATCCAACAACTCTCCAAAACTAGGGTACCCCAAGCCCCGGTGTATCGCGATTTTCCTGAAAAAAAGTCATTTTGTGGATTTTTGTGGTAGCTTCATTTTGGCCTTCAAATCCCACACAAAGGAAACACCCGGTGTTATTCCCTACGATATCCGTTTGTTTGGTTGAATAAACATCACCATTTGTAGGGGTTACCTGATACTGCCCACCGGGGAGGAAGTTCGAAAGAGAGCAATGGCTATAGTATAGGCTATAAGGCTATAAGGTTTTGCACCCACAACTGGCAGGGTCTGTGTTGGTTGGAAATATCTCTTGAGTCTTACACTTTATTTCAACATTATACAATTATACACATCCCATTTCAATTCATTTCATGTGCTGGTTTTCTGGGGGGGTCCTAAAATGGGGGTACCCCTAGATCATCCGTTTTAATAGGATTTTCCATTATAAACCATGAATTTTGGGGTACCCCCATGTTAGGAAACCAGCATATGGGGGTGTCTTAGGTCATGGTCCCAGTCATGATCCCCGGTGGTCACCCTGGGTTTGGATACCAAGTCATGGTCCTCTCCCCAGGACGAGCCGCTGCACTGCTGCCTGGGCGCTTCCCCAGGGTCGCCGTCACCGGAGGATCCTGGAGCCTACGCAGCAGCTGGCGTGGATGCTGGGGGAGGTGCGCCTAGAAGCCTAAGGATTTTCATAGGATAGTCGAGTGAAATATTACTTAGTAACACATGGTCATGATTGTCATGGTTAAAGCACACTAGTATTGTTTTTCAAATGAAATAGTACACACTCTAGTACTAAATATATTTTGATCATGAAAAGGAATGTAACAATGTAACATGTAACACTAGTAATAGCAATATTGACAGGAACAACAATAGCACCAACAACAATAGTGCGAATGATAGTGTCAATAGCTGATGCATTGATAGTAGCAATGGTTGTAGTATTAGTGTCGTAATAATAACAATGATGATGATGATTTCGATGATGATGATGAATGATGAATGATGAATAATGAATGATGAATGATGAATGATGATGATGATGATGATGACGATGACGATGACGATGACGATGATCAAGATGAATAATGATATTTATGATTGATGATGGTGGATGGTGATTGATGACGATGACGATGACGATGACGATGATGAAGATGATGATGATGATGATGAACATAATCAAATTAGCACCCCCAATTTCACCAGAAGTAGGTTGTATGGAAGCCATCCCTTCTTAGCCCTGTGTGTTATTTTAGCAGAGTTTCTCGGAAGGTTTTCCCACTGCTGCTGGGGCGCCTGTACAACCTTTCGCAGGTGGGAGACACAAGTGATCAAGTCATGAAGCTTCAGATTGGACCGCTGTGCAGTGGATGCCTCTGTCATCACAATCTAAGCCTGTCCATGTGAAGGAAAAAAAGTGGCGCTGCAAGTTAATTATGCGGTCCTGATTCCAGGAATGGTGTTTGAATCTCTCGTGTTGGGTATGTTTGGAGAGGCATACAGCATGTTCTGGAGTCAGCCATCAAATTAAGTTTTTGAGGCGTTGGCAGAGTTGCCAGGGGCCGCGATGCCCACTGCGCTCATTGAGGGTTTGCCGTTGGATTCTTACAGAGAAAGAGCTTCTGATATTCGTCGGCACCAAACCAACTTCTTCTTGGAAACCGAACAAATTCGTAAATTGGACTGAAGTCTCCGCTGTGCAGTGAGCGCGAGTCATTTTTTCCATTACAACTTCATGAATGAATGAACTTCATTTGTGTGACTCATGTGACTGAATCTGCAGCATGTCGATGAAGTATGACATCCATGATCTCCAGAAGGGGGGCCTTGCAGTGCCCAGTGACCCAGTGATGTTCTTCAGAGGCCGCATTTGGAGAGCATCGGAGGGCCTCTGCCCATCGCGCCTCCGATCATCTCTGAGGAGCTTTCCTAAAATCGGGGTACCCATCATCCAAAATGTGACCATACTAGTCATATTAGTATTGAAACCCATGGTTTTGGGGTGTATCCCAATTGTTAGATTGATGTTTCTGTCCCATTTTCTGCCATCGTGCTAGCAAAAATTGGTGAAGAAGTTCCCTCTACTGCAGTCACATAGGAATCTATAGTACATTTTTGTGCGGGATGAACATCTAGAATTACCATCTATTTAGGTGTTCACCGGATTATAATGGTTTTGAGCCATGTTTTTCTTTTCTGCAACGCCATCCCAGAATTGGTTGAAAAGAAAAAATTACAGGCACACCCATATACTTGAGGCTAAAAAAAATGGTTTCTTGTGCAGCAACCCTCCAAAAGATAAACTCCTATACGGAAACAGTTATCACTTTTTTCCCTCTAGACTGCTTTAACCAATCCACTGATATCATGGTCGACCATTGAGGAGAAGATGCTCCCGTTGCCGTCGCCTGAGAGCACGACAGTGAATTGGCGGGATCAACCGCCGGTCGGCTACTCAGCGATGATGCTTGACGTCCGGGATGTCCAACACTTGGGAGATGGCACTTTGGTGAGGATTGATCTAGCCAATCTCGCCATGTTGAACGTTTGAAACGATTCTTTCCAGGAAAAGCTTATTTTGCTGGTTGTGACATCACCATCGTTGCTTAACAAAGATCCAGTCGGACTGGATCTGAGGAGAGCCTCCCAGAACGCGGACAGGATCTGCCGGAGCGGGGAGCGGTGGAGACGATGCGGCGGTCGGAGATGTTGGAGGTGCGGGTCTGGGGCCATTGATGGTGGAATGTGGCCATACCAAATGGACCTTAATTTGATGGGTACCCTCTGGTAAACATACAAAAAACTATGGAACATCACCATGTCTAATGGGAAAACACACTATTTCTATGGCCATTTTCAATAGCAAACTGTTAGTTTACCAGGCCGGGTAGTTATTGTAGAAGTGGCATGAAGTGCTATGAAGTGCCAAAGATGTGGGGCTTTTGGGTCCAGAGGTTTGGACTTGGCGGAGCAAGAGCCATGGAAGCCAGGCTTGTGAAGGCCCATTCCCTCATCTTCCAGGTTTGCGTCCAAACCTTGGCCGTGATGCAGCTCTGCTTTTCAGCAGGTGCGACAATGGAGGCTTTTTTTTTCGGTTCTGTTTTCTGGAGGGCAATAATGGTAGAACATAGAATAGTTTTGGACAGGGTCTTCCCAAAGGCAAACAACAACCACTGAACGCCTATCATTGTCCACAGCCTCAGATAGCTCAGAAAATGCTCAATTCCTAGTTTACTCTCCAAAAGTTGGAGGTTTATAATATGGGGATGGGTCAAAACCCTGGTACCTAGTGAACCCCAAAATAGCTGGTAAATGGATGTTCATCCCACTAAAAATGTATCTATAGGTATTGATCCATACCGATATTTTCTTCTGCTTGTGGCTTGTTTCATGATGAATGAAATGATGGATCTGCGCTGGCCTGCCAGGTCCTTCCGCTCGTCTGTTTGCAGCTCTTCCTAGGGATACGCTGAGAACGATGGCCAGGCAACAGCTATGGAGAAGATGTACAGGGTTGTCAGTATTTTTTTGGAACACACCCGAAATCCACTGGGGTAAAATCTCATATATATATATATATATATATACATATGTATATATATATACACATTCACACATGTACGTATACAATCATGTATCTATCTATCTATCTATCTACCTATCTACCTATCTACCTATCTACCTATCTACCTATCTACCTATCTACCTATCTACCTATCTACCTATCTACCTATCTACCTATCTATCTACCTATCTAGCTATCTAGCTATCTAGCTATCTAGCTATCTAGCTATCTAGCTATCTAGCTATCTAGCTATCTAGCTATCTAGCTATCTAGCTATCTAGCTATCTAGCTATCTATCTATCTATCTATCCATCTATCTATCTATCTATCTATCTATCTATCTATCTATCTATCTATCTATCTATCTATCTATCTCTGATATATATATATATACATAGTTTTTCCATAAACATTTATTTTTTGCGAAGTACCCCCCATTTTCAGATACACCGCTGTAGGACTGTTGATATGCAGGAGATCTTACATGTGTTGACAGTTGATGCCAAGAGAGTTTACCATCTTTATCATGTTTGTTGGAGCATTTCGTGTCTTGGCCTGCGAGCAACCGCTGGTGCACATGGTGCACAGGTTGGTTCCCATGGTGAGCTACTTACTCCGTGCCCTCGGTTGATTTCAGGTTTCAGACGAGCTCCCAAATTTGTTTCTGGCAACAACCAATCAAAGTCATACATTTACCCTGTGGTAATCTCACATAGCCAAGGAAGATGGCCATGTTAAACATGTAAATCATTTACATGGGTCATTTTAATATGTTAAACATTGTCATTTTTTTCAATTTTCCGTGAGTACAAAAAGGTAAATCATCTACAATTTCAACACGGCTACATCAATTCATCACTGTTTCGCATGTTTCCTAAAATGGGGGTAAGCTAACCTCTAAATCCATTTTTTTTGGGTGACTTTCTACGAAAGCCATGGGGGATCCCCCATAGAAGCCGCCCATTGGCCCATTTCCTCCAGGTCCCAGGCGAGACGACCCGGTGGCGCAGCGCTTCCAGCTGGGTCCCTTGCGGATGGAAGCCTTCGTCAGGCGGCCCGACGAGCAGATGCAACGAGAGGTTTACAAGGCCAGATCCCAGGAGATACAGCGTGGTATGGCTGGTATGGGATATGTTATGTATATATATATATATACACATACATACATACATGCATACATGCATGCATGCATGGATGCATGTATACATACATGCATGCATACATGCATACATACATAAATGCATACATGCATGCATGCATACATACACACACACAGACATACATACATACATGCATACATGCATACATGCATACATGCACATGTATGAGATGATTTTATATGTTACTGTATTTTTTGTGATGGCATTTGTCAACCATCAATCATGTATGACAATTTTTTGCAGACGATTTGGCATGGTTGGTGGCTCAAATTTGTCAAACACCACCAAAACTAGATGTTTTAGTTTTATGGATGGCGTTAAAACATATAGGAGTGGATAGTACAAATATTTCTCAAGGCATTGTTGAACATGATTGTACTTATGGTTGAAACATATTTTGCAATTTGGGATGGCAGATGGCTCGAATTTATCAATCAAATATCAAAGCACGAAAAAACCTGGTATCCACCTGTTGAGCCATACCCGTATGGTAGTACGGGAACCAGCACGGCACATGTGTGGATTTCATGTATATCATCTTATCAGGATGAACGAGGCTTTTCAGCAGTTAACTTTGGACATCATGGGACATTTTGTGACATTTTTACCAGCAAAAAATGACTATTCTTCTACAAAACACGGCATTTTGGAATGGCAGCGCTGGGGTCCACCCTTTTGCAAGGTTGTCCAGAACATGATGCCGTTCCTGCCGCGAGTGCTGGGCTGGGAGGTTTGGGATGCCCGACCACAGGCGCCAGAGATCGTCTCAATATTCCGGCTTTTCCCCCCAAAAACGACTCAAAAAAACTCAAAAGAGTGCGGAATCCCTTACGATCATTATCATAATGATATACTAGTGGGATTAAATCTTCTTTTTTATTATTTATCATTATTTAGTAATATACCCTCAGCAATATGAAGTACCCTACTACCGTTGTCACCGCGCTGACAGGATAGACTGCATGGTGAGAAGACGGGCGGGGCCTTCCTGGCTCTACAAAGGGATTTGGAGATCCCGCCCTTCGTCGTCTGCTTGGTGCTGAAAAAGGTGCCGCGACGGAGGATCTCCCAGTTTGATTCAGATCTAAATTGATCTAAAGGACATCCGAAGTATATCGCGATTCATCAATCAGTCGTCTGATGACGTCTGGGTTTCTGTGCACTTTTGAGATTGCGAAAGATGTGAAAATCCTCCAGGCATCTCCTCATCGTCGAACAGAGGCTTTCAACAAGAAGGCGCACCTCACAAATCCCAAGATCACAGAAATGAATAGTATTGAACCAACTCGAGTGGTTGAAATGTTGTTTTTTCCCTAAGGTTTCCAAGTTTCCAGGTGAGATTCAACCAAACATCTTGTTGAATGGCTTGTGAATGGTTGTTACATCCAGATGTGATGTTGAAGCCACCAGAAATGACATGCCAGGTGTCTGTGGGAAACGAAACCCAACTTTGAGCAGTACTGAGGCCGTGAGCGCGGGAGGGCTGGGAGGGCTGGGCTGTTCACCTGACCCGCAATCAGACTGGGAGAAAAAAACACCCCTGGCTCCTAGGGTTTTTCTTGTAATTTGTTCTAATTAAATAATATATGTATATATATATATATACGTATATATATATATAATATAGCTCGGACGACTTCTCAGGCTGCAAGCACGGCAATGCAGTGCTGTACAGCTCAGTCTGGTTTAGGTCACCGGCCTAGCTAAATCGGAAACGTGCCTGATCGGCCTGGTCGCCGTGAAGCGCCTCAAATTCGCCATCATCTCTTGCCGCAGCAGGCTAGGGACAGAAATCCGTAGACCCGCAAATTGCATTTGTACACCCAGGCTTGGTGCTGGAGCCCGTGGCAGCTTGATGGCAAAAAAAGGAAACAGCTGAAATATGCTCTTGAGAGCATGCTGCACAGATCTCAGCATGTGACCTACCGTTGGTCGTTGGAAGAGGCTGTCCGGTGTTCTCATGTGCACCCCCAACGAACCATCTACCTGGAAAGGAAATGCAAAATCCTTGTCCAAAAGCAAAAAGAAAACTAATTCAAGTTCACTAACACCATGAATTGGGCCTCTCAGACGCTCAGCCGCACAAAGCCAGTTAATGAGCCCTACCAAAAAAGCTCCAGGCACAGCAGCATGGTTGTGGAGGCATTGCACTTGCCAGTTGACCGGGAGGTTGTCTTCAATGGCCGTCCAAAGCATGTCGTCTTCATCTGAAGACTCAATATGAATGGTCTCATTGTCCCCCTCAATGGTCCTGGACTCACGGTCGGCAACCAGGAAAAAGAACTGCCGCAATTGCTGGAGTCTACTATCCCAGTCATGCAGGGAGTTCCTCAATGCCTGATGCATTTGCTTGAAAGCAGCTGAGCGTTGGTAGTTGGTGTGCACAGCCAACTGGTCAGCCAAGTCATTCCAGTGAATCACCCATTCCTCGAAGGGATCTTCAGCCTCTGACGCTGGAACATGTGAAGGTACCCAGTGAAAACATGTTAAGACACCTGCTCTGTCACGCAATGCCTGCTGCACCAAATGCCAAAGATCATGGTTGGAGGCACCCTCTGGTATCTCATCGAACTTCTGGATGTGCTCGGCTACATGAATGGTGGATTGAGAGTCCGACCACAAACAAAGTTCAACAGCTGAAAAAGCTCCCCATGTGAGTGCTGCAAGAAGGGCCATGAGCTCAGCCCGGTCGATGGTCTGAGTGATGCCTGGCACGTGGCCCGTGGCCACAACCTCTCCGGCAGTAGCATCCAAAACGCCACAGGCCGCATGCTGCAAAACTTGATGAGCTTCCACCGTGCATGACCCATCAAGAAAAAGATGATGCAAACCGTTTATTGGGGGGGGAAGCAAAAAAAAATGTGATGAGTCAGGTATCGCATAGAGCAAATGTCTCCAGTTTACCAGAAGTTCCAGCCTTGGCACCAGCAAGTGGTGTATGGTGCACTTAGGTAGCTCCACATTGTCAGGGAACCAGCCAGATATGCTCATCCGCAAAGACTGAAAACGTGGGCAATGCAACCAATGCTCTCGATCATCCTCAGTGTTGCAAAGGGTGCACATAGAGGTTTTCTCGCAATCGTACTTGGCATGCTCGTAGTTACTCACAAAAACCCCAGAGTGAAGCGCAGAAAGCCTGGCTCTGTCCAAGGAAGACATCCTCCGTGCATCATGGAGAGTCACTTCACCTGCAATGCCATGTAGATCACTCATAGTTTTGTGTTTGACCTGGCTAGCAACATACTGGAGCCAGGCATCCTGGAGCAGGGTCTGGAGAGTCTTGCTGTCCATGAGCATGATGTTCCAGGATCTGCCGTCATGGTCGGAGACTATCGGAGGTTCCTCAATGGTCCAGCCAATACCAGACAAGCAGTGCAGCAGTCTGGAAAAGGGCCCAGGCAAGGCCTTTCCATCATATCCATGCATCCATGTTCTCCACATTGGCAAGAGATCATCTGATTTCCGCAACATCCTGCAAAAAGTACTGATACAAAGTTGAAGTTGATAGAAACCTGGGTCAGTGGCCATGTCATCCGCCAACGACAGGCGCAACATGGGATTGGAGCCGGCTCCACTAACCCCAATGGCTTTTGTAGCAGCACGTCGCAGGGCAGTTGCATAATTGTCTGAGATCAGACAATTGGATGAGCCATGCAAGGCCTGAGGCCAAAACACTTTCGACAGGATGGAGTACTTCTGTAGTTGTGGTGCCATCGAGGTCTTGAGCTTCTTCCGTCTGTCCTGCAGCTTGTCACCTCGTGCCCTCAGGACACGATTGCGTCTAGAGGCTCCGTAGGTCATGGCGCCTCCCAGCTCGCTAGCATCAGTTAAGCATTGGAAGCCCAATTCAGCAAGATAAAGACGTTCCGCACGATGAAGTCCCCAAACGTAGGTCTTATCATCGTCTGTGTCCAGTCCAAACAAAGCACAAACTGACTTCAGAGCAAAGAAAGCCTGCACAACCAGAAGAGCTTCTCTAGCAGCCAAAGTGAGGTTGTCCACGAAAGAAAAGTTGGTGACTCGTGGACAAAAGGCCTTCATGTAAACATGGTAGCTCCAATTCACCACTAGCATTGAAACGATGGACAGTGGGCAACCTTCTGGGAAGCCCGACACTGAGGTCAATTCATTGCCCAAACTGCCAAGCACGTCAAAGCGTCTGACAAAACATCCTAAAAACTTCTGCCAAGCGCAAAGTAGAGGGTCTGGAAGCCCGATGTGTCTTGCCACCAAGAAGACCTGTTCTCTGCCAATATTATTAAAGGCACGCTTCAAGTCCGTCGACAATCCACAATAGGTGTGGTCCTGTTGCAACATCAGCTCAATTTGTGCCTGGAGCAGTAGCCAGACCTCTGTAGTTTCCCGCTTGGGCAAAAATCCAAGTGCTTCTGGAGGGACAAACCTCACCATCTGTCGCAAGAGTTGCTTTGTTCTGAGTCTCGCCCAAGTACGGTACAATGTTGAAAACAATGTAATTGGCCGAAAATGACCCACCTCATGAGCATCCTCATTCTTTGCCAGTCCAATGACTGTTCCAAAGCATAGCTGCGACGGCCATGGAGTGTCTGTGTACTCAATGTGATGCATCATACGTAAGAAAGCTTGAAGGAAACTGTCTGGCATGGCAGCAAGGTCTGCTTTGTCAAAACCATCTGGCCCTCTGGCAGCCTGAGGCTTGAACTGTTTCACCGTAGCCTTCCACATGGATGTGGACAACGGCTGCCAGTCAAATCGTTGACGTGGCATGTAAGCTGCTGCAAATTGTAGGATTCGATTCCAATCCTCCGTGGAGATTGCAGCAAAATCATTCCATCTAGGCTGCCAATGGCTGGCAAATGCATCCAAAATCTCATTGGTGTTTGTGAAAAAAATGCGCTGTACAAGTTCATCGCCAGCTGAAAAACGCTCTGTCGAGACAACTGAACAAATGTCTCCAGAGCAGCCAGTGACATCGACAAAATGATCATGGTGCATCCAAACAAAATCGCCAGCTTGTTGAATATGCTGGTCAACATGCAGTTGGTGGCCTTCAGCATCTACATCCAAAATGGTGTAGCAAACGTCTTTCCAGAGATGAGCCACTCCCGGTCGCGGGTCTTTGCGTAGATCCAGGTAGAGAGCATTCAATGCGCCCGCATACTTCATCCGCAGGCTACTGGAACGTTGTTGCAAATGCCAAGTTTCAAAAGCCCTGAAGTGGCAAAGAAAACTCTCATACATGGCCAACACAATGGCCGATTCTGTGGGAACTGACCAGGGCAAAGTGTCTGGTGTGCCCTGAACAACATGATTCTGTGTCTTCCACCAAGTTGGGAAGTCTGGTGAAAACCCAGCTGCCTTTCTGATGGATTGCCACAACTCATCTCGATACTCTAGGGCATGTAGAGTTTGCTTGTTGGCGATGACTGCATGTTTCAGGCTTTGCAGTCGACGCAACTGTCGAAACCAGATGCGTGTGGCTGCGCCTGACATGGAGTTGGCAATCTTCACTTCTCCCTCCCTACTGGGTCTGCTGGTCACTGCTGTTTGTGGCTTCTTCTCAGGCGCAAGCCGCTGAGCACGACCAAAACAGTGTTGTGGAAGCGGAGAAGAGCATGTAGTGCGAGAGTGTGCGTCCACTGCCTGTTCAAACTCATGTGCCCATCGTTGCATGAACTGAGTGGTGTCTTGGCCAGCCTGAAACTGTGTGTTGCAGTCAGGATTCCATCCATCGACCGGTATATCATGCCATTTGATTTTGGCCGGTCGTGGCCATCTGTGTATAAGGGTTGGTCTCAGAGGAATGGCAAGTTGCACAGCAACCGTGGCGTGGTCCATGAAATCCTCAGTGATAGATACCCCTCTGAACATATGTATGGCCTCCGGGGAGAGCCATATTTGGTCAGGTTCAGTGGACCCTTTGCATGTCGGGATTGGAGTGTGCTGGAACAAGTCAGACGCCAGCGTCTGTGCATTTCTCCAACCATGTCTTACCCATATTTGTTGTTGGGTGAGCGCAAGAGGTTCTTGATTGAAATCTCCCACAAGCAGGCGTACTCCTGTCATGCCGAGCACAAGTTCTTCTGTGTATGTCTGGAGAAGTTCATCTGTCATCTGCCTGGCTTTTGGCCAGGTAGGTCCTTGAGCAAAACCGTAGATGGTGCCCAGGGTAATTGGCGTCTCAGCTGCCCAATGCCGTGTGAGCATGACTCGGCCGCTGTTCCAGTGCTCCAAGGGCCATGGTACCTCAAGGGTCATAGATGGCACATCAGAGATAGTGGCAACACCAGTCCATTTGCCTGCCCAATTGGAGCCTTGCCTCAAGGGGGCAGGGGCACCACTGTGAAAACGAACCTGTCGATCAAGCTTTTGAGCCGCTCGCCGCAAAATGCCGGAGCTGGTTTTCAAAGTCTGCTGGGACAATTGAGTCTCAGATAAGGCCCAAATGCCAGGCCCCAAACCCAGCAGGATGTCC